TGCATGCACGCCGGCCTGAACGCTTTCCACATCTTTTCCCTGCAGCCTTTTGCAGCTGGGCACGTGTGGCTGTAAAGTTACAGAGACTGGCTCCTGACTTGTACTAAGAGGTTAAATTCAAGGAGGGCTCTTCGGCAATCAGTGCAGATGTTTATTGCTGATAGTTCACGGTTCCGTGAAAGGCACTGCTAGTCCACGGGGTCCGCATCATGTCCACCTGAGCCTGAACAGCTTCTGCTAGGCCCTAGGCCTTTTCCGGCACCCTTTGCGTGACAAGGCGGCCATCCTTTCCTTGCAGAAGGAGCAGAAGCCAAAGGAAAAGGCTTGTTGGGGAGACTACCAGCTCACCATTGACCCAGGGAGTGTCCCGAATTCCACATTTGGCAGCACAGCACAAGCTCAAAGCTTTGCTTCAACAGGTTTCGCCTCTGAAAGCTGAGCCTTATCGAGACATGCCTTGATGCTGTTGATTTTACATTGTATGTGTTATGCGCTTGTCGTACCACACGCCGTGTGAATGTTGACTGAGAAGTTCGTCTATATGATTTCGGTATATTTCGGTCGCTCCGACTTCAGCACATTGCCTGCAAGGCCAAGCGCAACGATCCGTCGTCTGCTGCACGATCCTCCGCCGCGGCGCCAAAGCGGAAGCCTGCGAGGCTGAGAGGGCTTTGAAGATTTTGGGGCCAGAGTGTTTGGGGCCCCCAGCCTCCCATGGTTGAGGCGTCGGGGTTTGTTCTTGGCGTTTCCGTTTCAGCTTCCGTGGCTTGGCCCCAACATCTTTACACAAATAGTCGCCCCCCCTCCTCACAGGACGGGCGCTTGGGTTCAGAAGGCCTTCCTGGCTCTTGGCTGCCGGGCGCCCGGCTAGGTTCATTTTGGAGTCTGCCTTTGAATGAATGTAGAGCGTCTGCCAGTTCCGATGTGGGACGCGTTCGCCCAAAAGTCTCTGCCTTTCGAGCGTCCGGTGATGCATGAGCGCTGAAGGCTCATAAGGAACCAGGAGGGTGAGAGGGAGGTGTAATGGGCACATATTCCCCTCAAGGTCCTTTTTAAAGCCTTATTTGGGGAGTATGGCACCTTATATACCGCCCTCCTTTTGGAAGCTAGGTGCACACTCGAACACCAGCATACGTGCAACTGCTTGTTGTGTGGGCTTGGGAACTTCAAGGCAAGCATCACTTAGTGCATGCATAAGCTTCAAGCGTCTGTGGAACTTCAAAGAAGCGGCCCATATCAGGATGCATTCGTGTCAGTTGAAGGTGACAAGGATGACTCTGACGAGTCCGACGAGGATGCGAGTCGGAAGCTCGGGAAGCATGCGATCAAAGACTCCAACAGCGTTGGGTGAGTTGCACGTCGCCTGAGTGTAGGCTGGGATTTTTTCCACGAGACTGCAACACAAGGCCCACCGGAGCAGAAGCGTTCGGCCGACTTCCAGCTTGCGGCTGGATGGCATGATGGGTCAAGGTTAGTCAAGGCGTTTGGTATATAGTGTTGCTTTTGTTGCGGCAGTTCGCATCAACCGCTAGAACGATGATCGACCGGAACAACATTATGTTTCAGAGGCTGCCGTGGTTGAGGTGCCGCTTGTCCAGGCTATAGCGGCTCTCAACTATAGATAGAAGTTCGAACTAGCTGCGTTGTGCACAACTGGACGTAGCCTGAACTCTCGCAGCTGTTGGTCCTCCCTTTTCTGTTGAAGGCTTCCCTCAGCCAAAGTTCAAGCAGAATCAGAAAGAGCCATCCTGCCTTTCGTCTTCATCCCTTTCTTTACATTTATCTTTCTCTTCTTCTCTCTCTCTCTCTCTCTCTCTTTATTCTTCTACGCTCTTAATGTCTTACTCTTCTCTTCGTGTCTTTTTCCCTTCTCTCTCTCTCTCCCTCTCTTGCTCTCTGACCCTTTGTTGGTCCGTCCGTCTGTCTGTCCATCGTCTGTCTGTTTCTCTCCACCACATCCCCACCCCATTGGACCTCAACCTCAGCGCGCAGCAATGAGAGGTGAAGCTTGCTGGAGCCAGGGCCCTGATCTTGGAGAGGGGGCACAGATTAAAGGCCCCAGCGAGCATCATGTGAGGCGATTGCAAAGAAGATCGATGACATCCACAACGACTGAGGGCTTGCCTGACCATCTCGGGCACCAAAGGGCAGAACCAATGCGCAACTTTAACTCGTTGGTATGCGAACATTTTTTGCCATCAAATTTTTGAGAACTGACTTTGCCAAGGGTTGATCATTGATCCTGGTTTTTTCTGTCTGAGCTCGGTTCCAACACCCCCCCCCCCCTCAAACCCATGGGCGAAGTTCGAAATTTCAATGCAATTATGAGTTAGGTGATTCAGAAAATTCTCTGACCCCACTGCCAAAGAGTTTGGCAGCAAAGGTATGGTAGGGTTGCTGGGTGTTGAGAGACTCGAAGGAACCATTCCAACTAGAACACAAAGAATCAGCACATTGGTTCGTCACCACAGCTGTTGCACAACCAAATTGTTTTTTTTCAACTGTTTCACAATAGGTTTCACCTGAAAGCCCCAGATATCTGCAGCCGAATAGAACGAGCGCCTCCTTGATCCCGACATTCTGGCTCCGAGAGGTCCTGTAATCTTGGTCATGGCTTGATAGGGGATGCTGGAAAGGCAGGGAGGGTTTCCTGCCCTGCCAGCCCTGAGCTAGACGGCACAGCCGGAGAATCGGAGAAAGGCGGAAAAAGCCGTGCAAGCCGTTGCAAGATCGGCCTGCCCAATGCTCAAAGCCTCGGGGAGCCGTGTCCAGTGGAGACCAGGAAGAGGAACCCCAACCGCCGGCCGTTCAGTTTCAGTCGGAGATCACGTCTGTTTCTGGGAATCCACGCTATCCACACTATGCAGACTGTTCGTGTTCCATGTGGCGCCTGCCAGTGGAGGGGCTATTGGCTCAAGAGAAAAAAACACCGAGACCGAGTGCTCCATCAACAAAAGCCCCAAGCACAACCGCGACAACCGTAAACCCCTCTCACAAAAAGTGAAGCAACTTCACCTCACCCTGAACAACCCTAAACCCCTTAAACCCCTTAACCCCCCCCCCCCCCCAAATCCGAAGGAACGAAGCCCATTAGGCCCGCTATGTGCATCCTAAGCTTTGCACAGAATGCCGTCAGCGCGTTGAGCCCAGTGGGGGTGACTGTGGCCCACCATGCCTCCCACAAGTGAGGTACCGCAGCCGAGTTTTTGAAAACCTTTCGACTCGTAGGGCTGCATAGCTGGGTCTTGGGCTTGGTAGGGCTTACGAGTTAGAACTTGCCCTGCAGATTGCAGTTCCCTTTTGCGCATGAGCCAGATGGGAAGCATAGTTCAACGAACTTTCGGACCTCGCTCACCTCGCACGTCCAGACGTTCAGAACTCACGCTCCAACGGATGTAGGTCTGCTAGCGGAAATGTTCGTCAGCGAGCCTGGAAATGTCTTCGGGTGTCGTTTCGTGTCATGTGGGGGCTATCAAACCACTCGGAAGCCTTTCTACGCCAACGGGCAACATGCAAACCTCACTCACAATGCTCCATCAGGGCATTCCGTGTGGCGCGCGCGCGCGCACGTGCGCGGGTGCGGGTGCGGGTGCGTGTGCGTGTGCGTGTGTGATTGTGATTGTGATTGTGATTGTGATTGTGATTGTGGTTGTGGTTGTGGTTGTGGTTGTGACTGTGACTGTGATTGTGATTGTGTGTGATGCACATGCAGCCAGAAAGCAAGTCCATCCACCGGCCAGTTGACTTGCATTTGCTCCAGCCTCCATGGAAATGGAGCACCCTTGGCTTTGTGAACGCTACGGAACCACGGAATGGATGTGAGCGGAATGGGGCTCATGTGTGTGTATATATATATATATACACATATGCAGAGCACAGCCTGCAACACTTGGTGCTGGTGCCACTAGAGTCCAGGAGGGTTTCGATTGAAGAGCTTTCAACAGCGGCTGCCAGAGGATGCCTTCTCAGGGCCCAGAGCCCTAAGCCGAAGCCTGGACAAAACCCGACAAAAGCCCGACCCACTTACAACCCTCAGCCCTCTGAAGAGCATCTTGGAGCTTCATTGGCCGTCTTTTTGTCAGGGTCCGGGCCCGGATGGGGTCCGCAGAGCGTCCCTCAACTCCGTGGAGAAGGAGCCGCTGAAATGAAGTCCAAAGGTCCGTGTCGCGAGACTTCAGAAGTGGCTTCTAGAGCTTAGAGCTCACCGGTCTGAACTTTGAGGTGCTGGAGCCTAGTAGGGCGTAAAGTTTGGAAGGTTCAATCGCCGGACTTTGCGTGCCCCCTAGCTTCGCAGGAGCAGAAGAAGATGGTGCGTGCTGTGCTCAAACGAGGCATGGATGGAGAGTTCGGGGTGGTAGTCTTCACAAAACGCATGTGGAGCTCTGCACCCCCTGAACCGAAAACCTAGTCTCAGCCACCCCAAACCATTAGCTCGAAGCTCCCAGACGGGTGGAGATCGTCCTTGGCCAGCAAAGGTGGCTCCATGCAGTCCCTCCTCTCGTTGGGATCTCGGCGATCTCAGCGCTCCGGGGACACCAACAGCAGCAGCAGGCCCACGCGACGGTTTTCAGTGCGGCCTCAGGGATGGGAATCCTTGGGGGCCAGTTGCTCTGGGATGATGCTGAAGCCCTCAACAAAATACCCTAGATTCTACAGGCAGGGCTTGTAATCGGATCCTGTGCTTTGGGGGTTGTGTTAAGGTTCCGCACTGGAAGTCAGTGGCACATCCGGTGCTCGTCCAGTGGGGTAGGAGACCAAGGACTAACCAACCGAAACCCAAAAACAACTCTGGAAGACTCTGCCCTGCTGGCAGCGCAGGCTCGTTGCCAACAAGGCCATCTCTCGGTCAAGGGTTGCTGGGAATTGAGCCTCAATTGGGAGCCCACTCTTAGAACTTCTGGGAGAGACCCACGAAAACTGCCAGAAATCGGGCTTGCGAGGATTCCGTAGGGTTGTGGCAGCTGGGGCCATTGGTGTGATGATGCCAGACCCTTCGCGTGGGCAACTCGCTAATGATTAACGAAATCGCGATCACCAAGTGGATCCTGCGCAACTGTAAGGGACGTAAGGGCACAGACCCGCAGGTGCAAATTGCCGCCGGCGGTGTGGCCTGCTTGGTGCTGTCGGGGCCGCAGTTGTTTCTTCATTACAGTCAGGCTTGGTAGGCACCACTGGCCTCGTCCAAGGTCTTGGGTAGGCGCTGTGTCAGTGCTGCTGATGATCGTGGCGCTGAGATATACGGGCACTGTCGTCAGAGCCTCGAGCTGGTCTGAAAGCAGAAAGCTGTTCGCCAAGTGTGCCGCCACCTTGCCGCCCCATCACGACCATCAGTGCGCAAGCTTGCATGTAACAGTTTTTCAAGGTGGCACTGTGGCAGTGGCGTCCTTTACATTTACATTCATTGAATGCCCTGCTTGGGAGCTGAGGTGGACCTCGCGTGCGCCTTAGTGAAATGGGCTGGCTTGGGAGGCGTCCAGCGCTTCCGCCATCAGACTTGTGTGGAGGCTCCTCCTTCAGCATCAGCCGCCTAGGAACTGCACGGTAATTACAGCCACCCATTCGAATGCAATTTGTTTTTTTTTCCCCTTTCGGAGTGCCGTAGGGAAGGGTACTAGGAGCAGGATGCAGGTCCTAAACGAACCAAAAAAGAATCAGAGTGAGTGGGGACACCGCGGACGCGGCAGGCAACATCCAGGAGGAAGATGACTGGCGTGTCATTAGCCTCCAAGCAAAGCCTTCCATCGACCGTACTATAGCCACCGACAGGTAGGCGACAGGAAGACGACGCATCTACTCGAGCAGTCTCGTCGGTGGGGGAGGGCTGGGCTTCCACCTGCTGAAGTCGCATCGACCATGATGGCCGCACAAGATCCACGTTCCACGACATCAGGCGATAAAGACACAGCCCCACAGCCCCACTGCTCTGCAAAATGAAAACGGCCCAAGGTTCCAAGCGAATAACCTTCTGGCCCCTGAAGTCCTGAAGCTGCTGGCTCTCGTGATTAAACCCAGGCACGCGAGCGGTACATCGTTGCCGCTGCAGAGCGGGCCCTTTGGCTGCAGAGCGGCTTCTGGTCTCTCAAGAACACTATCAGGTGTTTGTGGGCCGTTCTGGAAGTGCACTGGTCTGTCGCAGGTCGGATCGCAATCTGCTGAGGCCTGTCCCTTTCTTACTCAGCCGCTGCGTTCTGTGGGCTTAGGTCGACTTGTCGACTTTTATGCAGCGACAATGACATGACACCTCCTTCGTAGACCTTTCGTAGGCACTCGTTGGCTTTGTGACCACCAAAAAAGCTCCTTCTGATAAAGATGCTCCGTTCAAAGAATAAGAGCTGTTTGGTATATTAACCGTGAGAGGGGCCCTGCTGTTTCCTTTACGGGTTGAGTTTTTTGTTTAGTTTTGCCGCCGTCCTTGTACGAAAAAGATGAGTCTGCTCGTGCTCAAAAACGAAGAGGTGTCTTGCTATTTCAGTTTTGTTTGGGACGAGCTCTCACATATTTTCGAGACGGATATTACGGGGTTCTCTTCATTTGATTTCAGTTCGGTCGCTGGCAAGACATCAAGACCAATAAGGGCTTTCTTCATTCTGTGCTTGCATTGGGCTTGTAGTTTCTCAAATGACTTGCGTTTCTTCTTGAGATTAGGTAGAACTTTAAATGCCGGGAGCCCCCTTACAGGAAGCACTTGTTGGTGAAGATGAGGTCTTATCATGACCACAACACGACATTATGCCTGGCAGACGAAGCAGGACTATTGAGTATTGTCTTGAGTGAATACAGGAATCTTCAGTTTGGGAAGGCTTTATGTTTGATATCACGAGTAATGTGAAAGTTGTGTGAGAGCGCATAATGTAGCTGTAGGCAATACAGTCTTTTACTATTTCGCTTTTGACAGTTCTTCGAGCCTTGCTACAATGAGACGCAGAGCGTTCCATTCCCCTCCCGTATAGTCACAACATTGTCAGGTACTGAAAGATGGATGTTAGTAGGAAGCTTGTTTCACTTTGCCGACGGTCTGCAAAACTCAACTAGTTCTCGAGTAATGGAGTTTACTTACCAGTTCTTGCCAGCAGGAGCTAGGTAACACGATTTGTTGACGACACACTGCTGTGGCTTGTCCGAGCACGAGCGATGAAATAACAAAGTTGACAAGCACCGAAGCCAATGACACCAGAAAGTCAAAACCAACACAGCAAAACAGCAAAACTGAACTCAACTCAACGAGAACATTTTTTGCAACCCAGGAGTCCCGGAAATTTGTAGTTTTGGTTGGTGTTTGTTGTTGTGTTTTGTCATTTGGGGTTTTTGTATCGATTTTGATTTTTTGTCGGGGGTGGGTGGGGGTTGGTGGGTTGATGGCGCCGTTGTTTCGAAGTGTTGCTGAATGCAAGCTTTGTGGGGAGGTCTTCGAAGCCGCCTATGCCGCGCGTCAGGCGCTGGACTATGCAGCCAGAGCCCGACTTCTCTTGAAGGGAAGCTGCCGCTGCATGGACCCGGTTCTCGTACTGAGGTGCAGCGCCAGCTGTATTTCGAGCCTGTGGACTATGACTCCCTGAGCTTAGCCTGGAGCTGAGCAGTATTGGGCATGTACTTTTGCAAAGCTTCAACGGCGCCCACGAGGAAGGTTGTCTTGAAGTTTGGAGGTGGATCATAGAGAGACTTGTGGCGAAAGCCGTGTGAACCCTCAAGTCTTGAGTCTTGAGTCCTGACTTCAGGCACTGGAGCCTGTCTTCGCAGCACGCGAGCCGCTGCGAGCAGTGGGGGCCCATATGCAGAAGTGTCTGAATCTTGGTATTGTTGAGGCGCCCGAGGCTCCTTCAACAGATGTCTGGATAGCATCTGGTACCTGGGGTATCTCAAGCGACGCGTTTCCCCCCAAACTTGGTTCACAAGCAGTGGGCATAGAAGCCTGTTGAACTGCACGAAGGTCGACATCGGTTTCGATCAGCGAAATGTCTCCATGACGGTTCGGCGTGTGGTTGGAGAAGGACGATGTGCTTACAATTTGAGAACCTGGAAGGATTTGATCCACTGAGAGCTCTAAGAAGGGTCAGGCCTGATGACGCTGAGATGCCGATAGTTCGGAATGCAGCAGCATGCAGCAGCCCAATGCCTTCGTCTCAAGCCCCTGACTTCTCCGGGAAGCAACATTTAATCCCAGTTGTCATCAAAGTAGCTCCAAGTTCCAACTGGCGCAGGAGTTCGAAAGCCACTGCTGGTGCAATCGGACGCGCCAGACTGCCAGGAGAAGGCATGGCGGAGTCTTGAGCTGTAGTGACTCCCGGAGGCTCTCGCAAGCTCAGACAAAACCCCAACGCCATCAATCTGCTCTTCTAGCACAGAGTGGCACGAGTTCCTGGGCCCTTGTAGTTGTGCCTGAATCCCAACGCTGTCTGATGACGCTCCGTCTAAAACTGTCAGTTGGGGCGCTTTGGCTGCATGGATGGCTTACCTTCACGGGACATGCCTTGGTTCCAGCCCGGTGCTCAGTGTGAATCGGTTGGTATCCGTGGAGAAGGCTTCCCATTCGTAGCAAGAGGATGGCGCGGGAGAGAGAGAGAGAGAGAGAGAGAGAGAGAGAAGCTCATGGTGGCACCTGCAGCTTGCCGCCACTTGCATTCCGCACCGAACCTGGCAGCATGTCGCCCAGGATCGGCTTGAGCCTTCCAGGAGGGCAGGAGGTCGACAACAGCAGTCCGGAGCTTGGGGGTCGCCCAAAACCAAAAACCCTGGCCTTGGCTCCTTGAAAGATCTCTGGGCAAACAAGGCGGGAGCTATGATGCGCCCACAAGCTTCGAGTGGGCGCCGGGGCCTGGCTTCGTCGCAGCCTTGGCGGTGCCCGTTTTTGCGAGGAGTTGGGGCTATGTTTTTTTGGCTTGGGGCATACCGACGGTGGTCGAAAGTGTTTTCGTGGAGTTCCATTTGGAACCTGGGTTCATCTCACATGATTGATTTCGGTTTGTTAGTTCTTCTCTCACGAGACGCCTTGTTGTACCACTGGAGTTGAGCCCTATGATCTATGGTTCTTGTTCAAGAGATGCGCAGGTCCCATACGACGACGGTGCATTAACAGGGCCTGGACCCTAAGAAGCCTTTGGCACTGCGAAGGTGGCCATCTGCCGAACGTGTCTGCCTACACCATTGCAATGAGTTCTTGTCCTGTCTTCATGCTGGCTGAGGGCTGACACGTAGAACACCTGATAGAGTCCAGAGCAGCACATGCAAGTTGAGCTGCGATGCTGCAAAGCAGAACGTCAAGTCCGGACTCTTAGCTTAAAATCAGGGCGTACACGCACACACACTCTCTCTGACTCTCTTCCCTCTCCTGATACGTCTATGCCTCAACTGGACATACACTTCTCCTGACTTTGTCCCAGCCTTTCAGCTTTCAGAGCGCGGGACCGTTGAGAGTGAAAGGTCAGCCCGTGCCGTGGCTTGGTCGCCAGCGCATTCGCTGATATTCCGGCCGTGTGCTCTGAGGGCTCTCGAAAAAAACGCAGCTTTTCTTTTTTTACCTTTTAACGTCTGTATTTGTTTTCAGTGGTTTTCAGTACTATAAAGTTGCTGAGGCATGCACTCATTCTTAGATGAACTTTGTAAGACTTTGCGTGTACTTTCGTTAACACTGTTCCAGGCAGGGCATCATGAAGCTTCCTGAACCGTGCAGGTTTGCGTCGCAAGCTTGCCTCTGTCCTCGTATGTCATCCACAAATCGGTTTCTGGTTCGCGTTCTGCAGCAAAGCGCAAGGTCAGTGTTTCCGGGCAGCGGGGGCAACCTCTCCATCATTGCACGTGCCGTTGTGGAGGCCATACCTCACAGAAAGGTCCATACCGACACCGTGGCCGAGAGTGCGAGGCGGCAAACCTAAAGCCCTCAGCCACTGGGAAGGTGACAGATCTTCGAGAAGATGATCGCCTCGATGATGATGAGAACCTAGGCCCGCGCGGAAGGGGGCACTAGATGGCTCTCTGTCTCTCCCTCTCTCACCCTCTTCCTGTCTGTCTCTCATCTCTCTCTCTCTCTCCTCTCTCGCTCTCTTTCCCTCCTAATACTGTGAGCTTGGGGGTTCACTGTTCTATTGTTTTCAGATTCACTTTCTTGGGACTTTTTCATTCATGCAGAACGACCGGGTGATCGGTGGGTGGTTGATGACAGAACAAGAATCTTCATTAGAATGCTGATGTTCGAACATAGGAAGGAAAGGTTGGAATTTCTGTTTCTTGGTTTGCTGTACTTCTGTGAAGCTGCCTCAAACGATTATTTGCTTCCACCATCTTGTTTTGTGCGCTTCGCGCAGTTTGGGCGAAAAACACCTCTACTGTTTCCACGGTGAGACAAGAAATGGCTTGAAGGCAGCCTAGACCATGTCATGGGGCCATACATCGAGAGGCTACGTGGCACAAAACAGCATGAGTCTTTGCAGGTGAACTGGGTGCTGCCGTAGCCTTAGCGTTGGCCATGCTCAGCTTTCTGCGACACGTTGAAAGACCGACACTTCACAAGTAGGGCTGAGGGTTGAATGTTATGCGCAGTACAGCCACTTAGAGTTTAGCAGCTTACGCATGCTGGGAAGGGGGAATCGGGCGAAGCTGGCAGTGGTGTGGTGTGGAGACCGCGGGCCTAGGGCGACGTTCCTATGATTTCTTTCCTTGTCTGTTCTTGACATTGTTTAGATTACAAGTGAAGTCAGTGGTGAGCCGAACGCAGCGTGAATCTTGGCACTACAGTGCATATGATGTGGTACATGTTGAAACCTCAGGCAATCTGAACCGGTCTCGATAGCGGCGGCTTCAATAGCGGCTCTGGGATCTTCTGAGCACCCGGTGTTGCTGGGGAACCTCCTCCCTGTAACTTGTTGCTTAGCCGACCTTGGCTGAAGGCCCACAAGCGCTGAAAAGTGAACAAAGCATGAGGTCTACATCTGCGACTTCGCTGGCACACTCCTGGCCACACTCCTGCCTGGCGAACAGGCTTGCGAAGGCTAATCTGACATACGCACCGATCGGTTCAATGAACATCCCTGAGGCCCTGGTGCCGCAGCGAAGCGGCGTGGCACGCTTCCGCATGGCCTGGGAGCTGGGTGGCTGGGCCGGGAGCCCAATGCATTTAGAATTGAGACATGACGTTGAGACGAAGTACATCTAGCTACCAGTCACGCGTGCTGCTTGATTACCACTGCCTACAGCCTGCTTGGGCCCAAGCTGATTTGGAAAGCCAGTACAGTTGGCTCATTCACCCTTCGGCTGCACCGTCAGCTGCTGTGTTATCAGCACTTTCACCATGCCAGGACAACCTCACGCACAGTTTGTTCCGAAGGGTCAGATCCAGTCGCCGATGCCAGAGGAGGAGGAAGTTCAGGCGTTTCAGGTCGATGATAAGGCGCAGCTGCCAGACGTGGTCAAGGCGACAAAGGTGTTGAGTGACGAGAAGAGGCTCCTCTACAAGAAAATGCTTCATATGGATTTCTGCTGTTCCAGCATCAGCTCGACTTCATTAGGTTCATCGATGACGATGACAACATGCGAAACGGGTTTCTTCTTGCATACGCCGCGACCCAAGGAGCTGGCAAGACGTACGCCATCCTGCCGTTGGCACGCGCCCTTTACTCCAGGAGGAGCACGGCTATCAGGAAGTGCGAAGACCAAAATCTTGATCCAGAAACAGCCTGGGCGCGCTGAGGAGGACCCTCAAGACAAAGCTGCTTTGCGTCTTCTCCCAGCCTCAAGTCATGCTCGAAGTTGCCCAACTCCTCTACAGCTTGTTTCAGATCGACCCAGAGTTGACAAGCGTGACAAATTTTGCGTATGCCGCCACTGAACATAAGAATCTGAGCGTGTGCTCCAATGGTAGCATGAACAAGGAGCGCCGGAACCGTGAGCAGAAAGCGCACTCCATCCTCAGCAACCAGCTTGATGAAGAGAGAAGGTACACTTCGAAGGACAAGTGCTACTCACAACTCGCAGGAATCGATACTCGCAACAGATGCAGCTCGTAAGCTCCTGGTGGATCCGGACTCATCGGCCAGCTTTGTCGCCATTTTCGACGACTTCACGAAGTCAGCAGGCTCAAAAGGCGAAGATCTGGCAAGTGCGGCCAAGCTGTTGAAGCTCCTTGAGAAGGAAAAGCATGTCGTGCTTTCCTCGGCGTCAGTCCCTTGCCGGCAGTTCTTCGAAAATATGTATACGAGAATGCGAGCGTACAATGGGCACATCGGCCAAACGGCAATCTCGTCGTTGAACTTCAATGCGCCGTGGAAGATATGCCACGGTGGAGAGCAGCAGTTCCACATCTTCAGTGGGTGCAAGTCTTCGGAGGACATTCGCAGGCTAATTGCCCTGCTAAAGCGTGATGTTTCCACACTCCGAATGATCACAGATGAGACAATCCAGCACTTGGGCAAAGAAGTTGGAATGACCTTCGGTGAGGCTGCCATCAAGCAGCAGTGGATGGATGAGCAAGAGACATTTGCTCTCCAGGCAAATGCAGATACTAGTATCGGTAACTCTTGCGATCTGTCTGAGCTAGCTGCACCAACAGTTGATGCAGTGCCTGCGGTTCCTACGGCAGAAGGCCAACCTTTCAGAAGCAAGGCCTTCTCGAAGAAAGCCGAGAAAGCTGGAAAGGAGGCCAAGAAGCAGGAGGCGAAGGCAAGGCGTGCCACCGAGTGTCAAGCGACTACCAAGAGCTCCAAGAAGGCCGAACAGGCTACAAACAAGACTTCCATTGCAGATCATGCTGCAGAGATGCGTCGCCAGGCAGAGCATGCAAAGAGGGCTCAGACTCTTCGGGAACGGCTGAAGAAGAACGTGAAGGTGGTCATCAACGAGCGTAGAGAAAAGTTTGCCTTGGAAGCATTGGAGAAGCTCTCGAAACTTCCGGACGAAAAGATTGCAAGTTTTTGCGAGTTCAACGTGACAGGCGTTGAACTGCCTTCAGGAAATCCGGAGTCTCCTAGCTTCATCAAGAGCAAACTCTCGCGGGATACCGTGACCGTCGTTGCGACGCCTTCCGCGTTGGAGAGCTGCAAAAGAAAGTTCCGCAGCATCGTGGCTGACACGCTGGTCCAGTTGCGCTTGGACCAAAGATCATGGGCGAAAAAGCTTCCAACCTCTTTCAGAGCAAAGTTCTCCACAAGTACTCCATGAGAGACTCTCCAAACTTCGACCGTATCTCGTTGCTTAGCTTCGCCAAGGAGGACGAGGACCTGCTCACTCTCTACATCCTTGGCATCGGAGTCTACAGCAAGGAGACGCGGGTCAAGTACCCAGACTATGCGCAGCTTATCGCAGACCTTGCCGCTCGAGGGCATCTGCCGCTCCTGTACGCCGATTCGGAGTTGGCATATGGCATCAACTTCATGATCTCACAGATCTACGTCACGGATGATGCCAGGCAAGCTCTCCTGCAACCATCTTCCAGTTGCTAGGTCGAGCTGGGCGAACAGGCTTGTGCGACACAGTCCATGCGCCCAGAATGCTGGTCAAGCTCGGGGAAGATCCCGCTGCCATCGACACCGAGTCTTCCAACTTTGCTGAAGCACTACACTTTGGACGGTCCCGCACAAGCAGACGGCAATACCGTCTTCAAGACGCAAGCAGTAGAAGCTGCCGAAAAGGAAGTGGCCAAGGGGAAGGCAAGGAAGGAGCGGAAGAAGGCAGAGAAGGCGGCAGAAAAGCAAGGGCAGCCAGGGCAGGGGACGAGAAAGGCTGAGGTGATTGAGCTGACCGAACCGGTTCAGCTGATTGGTCAAGACTGATGCAAAGGCGAGTGAAGATAAGATATGGGCAGTTTCTCAAAATTGGGGGTTGTTTCCTTGGGATAGCACGGTGCCGTGTAAGATTTAGGTTGTTGTAGGGTCTATTTTTAGCGTCTCCGGTTTCGAGAAATTCCCTTCTTGTTTAGTGACTTTAGTGCTTCGTGCCAAAAAGCACCACTGTACAGTTCTAGGTGGCTAGCGCCCGCTTTCTCACTGGCTTAGACATCAACATGGGATGTCCTGAGAGTCTGCAATGGCTGGACTGCGCCTAGTAGGAAGGCTCCATCCGAAAGGTCTTAGGCCAGAGTGTGGAAAAGTGTGGGCGTGCCCGAGTGACTTTCTGGCCAACCTACCTGACACTTCACTTCAGGCCACTTCACTCTTCAATCCACTCCATCCCACTCCACTGTATTACATTTCTACATACAGCCTATATGCGAAGAGCGTGGCCCCACAGTCGACACAACTCAAACGGGAGGGAGCAAGCATGGCGAGCAGAAGCGTTGAAGTCCCGAAACTTCAGTTGTCTCCAGTTCACCTACGCCCAAAACTAGTTTCACGCCGCGAGGCTTAAAGTCTGCTCTCTTTGAGGCTTCCTCCCTGACGCCTGAGCAGTTCGAGGAGGCGAGCATGGCCGGCAGCTCCTCCTTCAAGGCTGGGACTTGAAGTTGGCTCTGTATATATATATATAATATACATAAACTGAATGTCAAAAATCATCTTGCCTCAGCCCAGCGCCAACTTTGCTTTTGGGGTGTGGGCACTGGGTGTGGGCTTGTGGGTTTAGGATGTGGTGCTTGTTGGATGCTTGCTTGTGTATAGCATACTTCTCCCTCGAGTGTGTTCCCTCCCGCGTGGTTCTACTGAGTAACTAGTGGGAGGTTTTTTTTGGTGCCTGCGATTGAGGGGCGGGTGGGGTCACTAGGGTTCTAGCCTATTATTACGTCCATATTATTACTATTGGTGATGTGAACACGAAATTCAAATTAAAATGATGCGTTCGCTAATTTCATCTGTAAACGAAACGGAAGCAGAAATTAGATTCTTAAATTGGGATTTTACTTCGTTTTCTGATAATTCATCTCTTTGCTTTTCTTCTTCATTCTTATCCTATGCTTCACGAGTGAGAAAAGTACTGAATCCTGTATTTCTCTTAGTTTTTCACGCATACCTTAATAGTAATGGAATGAACAGAGTTAATGAATGAACGGCTAGCTGCGCCACCGGATGCCACCAGCAACGATGTGTTCATTGCGGCCTGCTTCGGACACGATTGAAGAACACAGGTCGAAGACTTTATCAAGCTTTTCGGTCTTGGCACGGTTGGTGCGCTTATGTCTTCAGAAACAAACGTCTTGGAGAGCAGCCGACCCCTTGAAATGTCGTCAAAACTACATCAAGCCACAACTTGCTGAGCGACGCCAGACTGATGGCAACATCAATGTTGCCATCATCGCTATGCGGGGCATCAGCAATGGCCACCACCTCAGATTCAGGGCTCATGGTGTCGAGCTCGTACAACTCAGCCCGGAAAGCCTTGAAAGGACAACTGAGGATGTTGCACAAAACACGAGCACCCACGCAGTTCCAGGTCAGTTCTTCGTGGTGGTCGCTTCTGCCCTCCGGCCAGGTTCAGTGTTTGTGGGATGTCTCACACATTGCAGTTTAATGTGATCAGTCTAATGTCCTAGTTTTCTGCCAATCCGGTACAAATATATGAAAATATTGTATTTGTTCAGAATGGGAGTACTGCCACTCTTCATTGACGTGTGGACTGCATAGCCACATAGACTGTTGGCAAGTGAATATTCAGAAGTATTTGGTAGTTGGCATCAATATTTCAGGTTAGAGAGGGTGCAGGCTGAATCGGCATTGCATGCACACCGATGACGCTGACCCGCGCTGTCTCAATCGAGGAGAGGAATGCCTATGCAGAGGCGTCCATGGAACTGATTTGCTACTCGGCAGTTCAAGTGGAAGTGGAAGACTGCAAATGTCGAAGAGGGAACCTTTAAGAAAGTCAGAAGAGACCATAAGAGGCATTTTTTTGGTTTTTTGAATAGGTGCTTTCTGCAGTGACCACAGCCTGGCTTCTTGAGAAGTTGCAGGGCCGGAGGGTGAAAAAGGATGGCGGGAGCTTCTGTGATTCCCCAATGACGGCTTGCACATCGCATGCACGATTTCGCAGCTCTTATACTATCTTCTACTGGCTATGCCCGAGGGATATCGGAGATACAGTTCCAAGAAGGCAGCGGTGGGCCCCGAGGAGGTTCCAGGAAGTATCTGTAAGCGAAATGCAGTTGAAGCTGTTAGGCGAACTTTCTTCTTCTTCTTCTTCATACGCTTCTTCTTCTTCTTCTTCTTCTTCTTCTTCTTCTTCTTCTTCTTCTTCTTCTTCGTCTTGCTGCTGCTGCTGCTGCTGCTGCTGCTGCTGCTGCTGCTGCTGCTGCTGCTGCTGCTGCTGCTGTTCTTGTCGTCGTTGTTCTCGTTGTCGTCGTCTCGTTGTTGTATCGGTGTGCCGTGTCGTCTCGTTGTCGTCTCGTCGTCGTCTCGTCGTCGTCTCGCCGTCGCTGTCTCTGTTGCTGTTGTTGTCGTCGTCTTTATTGTGCCTTGTTGTAATTACGTTGGCGTGCCTTGTTGTGCCTTGTCTTTGTCGTTATTGTTCTCCTTATTGTTGTTGTTGCACCTTGTTGTTCCTTGTTCTGGTTCTTGTCTTGTACTTATTCTTACGTGTGTTTCTTGTCTGTTGCTCGTTGTTTGTTGTTGTTACCGTCGTGGCAGGAGCACAGAGGAGGACTAGGACTTCGAGCGCACATACCCGAGACTGAGGCAACGCAGCTCAGGCCATAGTCGTCTCGCCGCGACTTGGCCAAGACTGTCAATGCTTGCCAAGATGAGGGTGGCAACTCCATGGCTCAGTGTTCCTAGGGGGGAGATTTGGAGTGTTTATGTTTGCGCTTCGGAGCGCGAGCGCTTGAGACTCGCAGTGGAACTTTCTAGAACCCAAACCCTTCACTCGAAAGCTTCATCGTCAGAAGCTAGTGCCTGATTCTGAGTGCACGCACCTGGAGTCCACAGCCGACCGATGCATTGCGGCCATGATTAGCTTCCTTTCCGGTTGCCTCATGCCTTGAGGCATCTAAGCGCCATGGCTCCAAAACCCCTTGCCTTTACTCCCAATTCTTGAATTGCCGAGGTACCCAGCGGCTTCATTGATTCTGCTGTTGTGCTTTGCGCTCCACCAGATCAACCTCAGGTCCAGCTGCTGCGGAAAAATGCTTTCCAGGGTGCATGGCTAATATAATAGGCCATGCGGCCGCATAGACAAGCGCCACGTGGGCACTTTTTACGCCTGTGGAGAGATGCAGGATTCGTTTCTTTACAGCCTCCTTACCGTGGATCATCATGCTGAACTGAATGAACTGCAGAAATATCCTGCAATCCTAAATCCTGCCTAAATCGCTCGGTCTGTCGGCTGGTCCCCGTGGAAGGCGAAAGAGGCGACGAGTACAGCCGGAAGAGAGGCAGCGCAGAAAGCGCGGAGAATCCATTTCTTCACCCCAAGCCCTGAAGCAAACCTGGGCACCCTGAGCCCTCTTGACATAAAGCTCCTGACCAACATTCACGATGTGATGACAAGGTAGGCCAAGGCTGCAACCAAGTCATACCAAATCCCTCGCAAGGCTCATGCACGCCGAGAAGACTCTGGCGCACCTGCCTCGGTCGTTGGTGCTCCGGCCTCTTCAGGAATGTCGTTGAATGTTGCTCGCGCACATGCTGGCCACAAGGGGACGTGTATGGTGCGGAGATGCGAAGAGGTGGTCAAACATGCCAAGGGCACACGCCGGTACAGGCAGGTGAGTGGCGCAAAATGAGTCCATACAAGGGCGCGCTAGTTTCGGGAAATGGGATGTTGCAAGGCCGCGCAGAACCAAGACCAAACCAAACAACATCAGAATGCAGTAATCTTCCTCCCTGCCTGATTTTCAACGCATGCCACCGGACGTTAGAGAAGAAATCTGTCAGCAGCTTCAGCCATCTCAGCTTGCATTTGCTGAGGATGCTCCGTTCTCGCACGGGTTCTCGGGGGCCGGTTCCCGAGCTTCGCGAGCTTTCGCATTCCACGGTTTGGCCAAAAATGCCGAGGTCTTGAGGGAGGGTTCGGTCTGAAGTGGTTAAATTCTGAAGCATCATGATGAAGCATCCGGAGAAGCATGTGTAGCCTAACTAGTTACGTACTGCATTAAGAGTCATCCGGAACATGTGGTGTTTTGCTGTGTTGATTCCCAACGTCTGAACTTCCGCGAGGCTCAGCAGCCGGTGAGAGCGAAGGCCTTCAAACTTTTCTTTATCTCTTCCCCACCGCACTTACAACACAACAAATCTTCCATCAAAAACTGGACCGGACCTGAATACCTGAGACATATTTAGCACAGCCAGGTGAGTTCACGGGGAAGCGGAAGCCAGCCACAAGCAGGCACGCCGCATGATGGTCCTGTGTTGGGGTTGTTATCGCAAAGCGATAGCAACCAGTGCATGAATTGCCGTGGTGCGGCCTGAGGCGCAACCGGGGCTGAAAAGAGGAGATTCCAACTAAGTCGGGGCGGTCATGAAAAGTCTCTGATGATGACCAAATCTCACGCGAGCAGCCTTTCTCCATGTGCTTGCCAAAGCCGCAATCAGCACCCAAGTTTCTGAGTTGGCTCTATTCTACGGGGCAGACCGTGACAGAACGAGTTTTCCGTTGCACAAGCCGACAGTCCTGCTCAAGCACAGCCCTTAATCCTAGACCCAAGAGGCGAGACTACCGTATACCCAACTTTGCGCAGTTGAAATGAGCCTCGATCTCTCTCGCAGAGAATTCTTAGGAAGAAAAACTTTAGAGCTGCATATTGCCACATGATGGGGTTCAAGAGAGGGCCACCCAGCCACGCCTGAGAAGTTCAGTCCACCGGGCCCGTGTTTCGATGGTTCAGCCTGATTTATGAAGGTGTTCGGCACTGGATTGCCAAGGGAAGTGGCGACTTGTAAAGGCCGCCCTGGCCGCGCCATGCTTGCCTCGGACAGATGATGGCTGAAGATGGCAGGGGCCGCTGCGCAGGATACCACATGCACCCCGTGACCCTTGTCAGAAAGTCTGAAAAGTGAGCCGGGGATGTTGCAATTACTGGCTGTGCGTCGTTGTATTCCGTTGTAGCAACAGACGCTCTTGTGATAGTTGGTCAGGCAGATGTTAAATGTCGCAGGAGATGAAAGTTTCGACATGGCAAATGACGCCTTTGCCGACGCAGGCCCCGTCCGGAGCATCCACGTATCTGAGTTCGCAGTTTTCCATTGAGTTTGGCGAGGGCTGCTTGTTAATGCGGTCAATGCTTGGAGATAAGTTGGAGTGCCGGTGATCATCTTGATGAAGCTCATTCGTGCAACAGGACACGGCGCGAATGCTAGCAGTTTGCACCAGTCGCAGCCTCGGCCTTTAGGTAAAGGGTTGGCTTCGAGGGCGGAGGTTTCAGATTTCAAAAATCTCGTTGGTGGGACTTTGTTCTCGTTGTCATGTGCCGTTCTCGAGGCGCTCGCCCGCTGTCATTTCACTGTTGTCTGGAAGGCCGGGATGTAGAGTTGCCTGCGCCGCACTGATCTTTGCGAGATGCTTCATCCCTTGAGTTTGTGTTGCAAAGCTTTGGTTTCCAGTGCTGCCCTGGCCAAGTCAGGGCAGGCTGGGTTGGTGTTGGGTTCCTTGATCCATTTCAGGAGTCCAGAGACCCCATTTACAAGTTTCCACTTCAACCGCCAGGAATACGAATCCCCCTGGCATCCATCAGTTCTGGAGCTCTCTGGCTTTTTTCAGGACTGGCGGTGAGCTGGAATATTTCCTGCGGGTCTTTTGGGTGCCGGCGGCGGTTTTCGCAACGGCAGAGGCAGGAGTCTGGCTGATGTCATTGTCTGATTCAAGCCCCGCTGTCGCTCTACTCAGCCCGGAACTAGATCCCATGCCAAGCACGCAAGTGCAGTTTGAACTTCGATTCGGAAGTAGTGCCATCAGTTTTCAAGACGACACCCCTGTTCAGATGTTGACGTTCCTGGTGAGACGAGCCAGCTTCTTTGTCCTTGCGGCACGAGTTGTTTCCAGAGTCGAAGACCAATGCAGAAGTCCGCATAGGAAGAGTCATGATGCAGGGTAAACGCACTCGATGCCGGAAGTGGGAGAATGTTCTATCCGAAGCAGATGAAAGCTGCGCCCTGCATTTGAAAGTTGTCTTGCGGTCCATGTGCCTGGGTTTGGTGAGCAAATGCCAGGTGGTATTGACTGCCGTGCCCTTAGAGTTGCTGCAGGTACCAAACTGACCACTCAAGCTTGCGCAACCGATTCCGTCAGCATGTGAATCTACAGCCGTACTCATGGAAAAGCCCGAAACCTGACTACAACCAAGTACCACGTAAAGTACCAAGTTGCCACCTCTACTTGGCGAGTTCCAATCACCTTCTCCAGCCCACCTGCGGCTGTCCGAGGACAATGCTTTTGAAGTCGGTCCGACCTACAGCAAAGTTGTAGAGGCGCGTGTGACGCACATGGGTCCTGATGGTGAGACATTGCACACCCGCAGGTCCACGTCTGGGCCAGCATCGTGATGTGGTGTTTGGCAGCGGTGCCTCCTCTGTTAACTGAAACGAGTGGAGGCAATGAGGTCGTTCATCTTCACAGGCAAACGCTTACAACAGCTCGTGCCCGGACTTGCATTGCCTGCAATACTGTAATTCCTGGCCTGTTGGGTTCAGGACTCAAGGCTCAGGTAGATCTGCACACGCTGGACAGGTCCTGATCAAGACTTTGATCAAGATGTCTGCTAGAGATCATCCTGTTGCATTCCAACAAAAACGGCACGAAGGTGCAAATCTTGGGCGAACAGCTGCGTCGACGGCGTGACCTTGCCTGGATCCATCGCCTTGCGGGCAAGGCCATGGTCACAAACGTGTGGGATTTACGGGCATCTTGCCAAGACAGCTCGCTGCCCCTCCTACTTGAAGCAGGTCATGCTCTTGCTGTTCTTCTTTGTGGTGCTGCCCACAAGCCTGTACCTTTCTGCGCTGCAGCGCCTCATCAGGGCCTTTTCAGCTCAGCATTTGGGAGTTTCAACATGTTTGAACGTGATGGCGGTTGAGAGTGCAAGTGCTGAAAAATCGGTAAGTCCAAAAGTTAATCCTGAGTACTGGAGTGGCCCAGCAAGATAAGTGGATCTGCGAGTGAACTTATCCGAAACACGGCACACACAAAGGCGGAGTTGCCGCTGAGTTGCACACACCGTAGGCACACGCACATGTGGTGGGATTCCTCGCTTATTAGTTGTATACATCGCAAATAGAGTTCCGCATTGTGTTTCCTGCACGTGTGCGTGGAACGCGCGTGTACGTTTGGGCCATGACAGGGATGGTGTCATGGGTTGGAAAAACACGGTTCCACCTATACTTATGGCTTCCAACATCGCTCAGCCCGCTAGTTCACACCAGCGTTGCTCGCTTCCATGCATCGGCTTGCTGTACAAGAAGCCGAGGCGTATCGATATTCTGGCTCCAGCTGTTGCTCGGTTCCACTGAGCACGCGCGTGAGTGGGCAAAGCCCCAATGCCCGAAACTTGTGAACTCAGGTTGCAGCTGTGCTCCTTGACACGGCCTTCTGCACGACCTTTTTCCTGCGACCTGCTTTCGAAATCCATTCGTCCAGCTGTTTTTGTATCGTCGTTGAAAATCGGCCAGCTTTCTGAACCAGTCTTCAATCATAAGCTTGGCGGTATTCAACATCTATCAACCCTTCTGATTTCTTTTCTTGCGTTCAGGGCTTCAAGCGAAGAACGTGGCAAATCTGCTTGCCGCCGCAGATTTTCTCAAGAGCCCGGCACTGTAAACAATCGCAACTCATAAGCTCCAATTTGTTTGCGGAGTTGCACTTGATTTCCAGGTTCTTGCCGCAACAAGGGCCCACCCAAGCCCCCGACCCTCCAATCGGACCCAAAAACAAGAAGCAAGGTATCGGGGCTGGAGAGTGGTGCGGCGCCGCGCCTCGTTTGTCCCTCAGCCTCCGCTCTGCCATGAGAAACCCGCAACCAGAGCTTCATAAGTTCCTATAGTCAATCGTGCATGTAAATCATGCTAGTTCATGAATCCCGTGAACCAAGAAGTTCATGTAACTCATGTTGTTAATGTTAGTTATGACGTTGTTCATGCTAGTCATGATGTTGTTCATGTTGTTCAGGTCATAAAAGTCTCATAAATAGGTTTTACATATTTCGTATGAGTCACTACAATCGACTGCTGCAAAGAATGTATAGCTCACTTTATTCAGGTAGTTCAGATGACTCAGAATTCTCATATGTTTCATAGATCTGACATAGTTCAATTTGTACGTACCACGCACTTAATTAATGTATGTCAGAAAGGTTCATATCGTGCAGATAAATCATAAATTTATATACGCGGGAGTGAAAAGCATGCTGTATAAGACCCACAAAAGCGCAGAATGCTGCAAGGTCGAAATCGTTGATGGTGCATGGGAAGCTGATGCAGTGCGGCACCATGATGCATCTTGGCTGTTTGAAGTTCTGCTTTGTAACCATCGGATGCATAGAATCTGTCATGGGTCATGGGTGTTCACGTCCTAAACCTGCATACTATTGTGCTCCGTCCCACGGCGGCAAGCCTTCCATATTGTGTGCTGAAGCCTGTCGCTTTGGAGCCTTCAGTGCCAAAACCCCCAGCGTCCTCGCCTAGATTATAGTTCCAACCCAAAAGAAGGTGGGCTCGCTTGTGGGCAGTCCGTGTGGGGAGGAATGAATGCCTTCCCAAGACCACAAGGAGCATGGCCATCCTACCTCAGCGTTTCCTGCAACTGTACTTGACGATGCAGTTGAAGAACCGCCATCAGGCACGGGTTTTCAATTGGAGCTTGCCAGCATCTGCAATCTGGGTTTGCCAAACTGGGTTCAGGGTCCGGACTTGTTCTTTTGAAGAATGGGGGTCCTGGTGCTTCTAATCTTCAAATATCTTTAAGCTGAAGTCTCGGAACCGGGATTGACGTCTTCGACTCAAGGATGTAGGTTCCGGGCTATTCACACGGCATTGCTCTTTGAAGGCATGACAAGCATCGTTCAGGTAGTAAGATGCCAAGAATATCAACTGACTCGCAGTAGGCCAACTACTCCATCTCGATCCTGGTGACATCGATTCTTTTCTTTGTCTTCGGACATTTCCAGGAGGGGCCGAGAGGCTGGTGAGGGAGCTTGTTCTTCACGCTTTCTATAGAGGGGGCACACGAGGTGAGGGGAACGCCGTTTAGGGACAGTATCCGGTCGGGAGTTTCTTCGTGAGGCTTGGTTGGAGGAAGCAGGCCGAAGGACGTAGTTAAAGTTGGTGTCTGTCATGCATGGTCCCCAGCATCAACTCTTCAAATCCTAGCCAGGGTTCATTTGGATGAACTGCATCGGAATGGACAATGCGGAGGAGGCAGGAGGGCCAGGGGGGGAATGGGGAAAGTAACACAAATCAGTCGAAGTATGTGTGTGTGTGTGTGTGCGTGCAAGCAAGAGGCCGAATCGCAAGGCACCACATGCCCCCCCTCGGTTCAAGTTTCAAAGTTGAGTGGGCTTGTAGAAACATTGCTTGGGTAAGTCTTATAGGGCCTTGGGGCTTCAATGCAAGGGCTTTGGGGGCTTTCACAGAGTGAGGCGTTCGGCAGTCGCCATGCCTCTGCAGTCGAGCGCTGGAGCTGGAAGCTCCGCTGGCAATGGCCCCAGCGCTCTCTCATGCATGGGCACCATTTGGTTTTGCATAGTCTAACTGCTGCGGGCTTTTGCATGCTTGCGAGCGCGTCTCTGCCGAACTCATGTTGCTTCGCTTTGCGGAGGCACGCATATCTATGCTAGAAGCGGGACTCCCCGAGGCTCGCCTACGTGCCCATCTACTACGCCATGCGGTTCGCACTCCAGTAGACTGCAATGAGTCACGCGTCGCGGTGACTGAAGTGCTTGGACTCCGTTGCGCGCGCCACCAACATGTCCAACGCCAAAGAGCTGCCGACAGGAACAAAGTGCGAGTGACTCGAGTGCGAGTGTACAGTATGGTTGTGCACAGGTTCGGCATAGCCGTACGCGTGAATCGGTGGGAGTGTGAGGAGCTTTCGGAAACTTGACCCCTGCCGTGTGCCCCCATGCGCTGGCTCCAGGGATGAACTTGGCTAATCGTTGTCGGCCTTGTAGCTGCGCATGATGTGCTGGCTTCGTTGCTTGAGAGGCTGTTGTAGAACCCTGTGTGCTTCAGGTTTTCCAGTCGAGGCACTTGGCATTGTGCAGTTCAGGGCAAACGGAAAGGACTCGGGCACCACTGCCACGGTTTGCAGGAGTTCGACCACTGAGCTGTCTAAATCCATGTTTGAAATTAGAGACATGGTCAAAGCGATCAGAGCGGGCTTGCCAAACATCCGCAGCCACGATGCCCCGGACCACAGCCCAAGTTCACGCCCAAGGCCCCGCTGTAGACTCCAAGAATTCAGCCGCGGAATCTATTGTCCACTCGGATGGAAAAGATTACGACAACCCCTGTTGCGCCGCACCCACCAACCACACCTTACTGACCATGCCGTACCTAAAACTGACCCTCTATGCCGTCCGGCTTTCATTTGGACTTTCGCCAGCGCCTGTGGCTGCTGTTGCGCCTCAGCTGCCGTAAGATCCTTAGCATGGGCTTTCGGCATGCGATACGTGGCATAGGTTTGTAGTTCGTCGCTCGGGGGTAGGAACCCAAGATCCGAGCATCCCCTTTGTGCCCGCACGCGCCCCTGTCAAAGTCCTAAATGGCTGCATGATGGACAGGCTGCGGTTGCGCGGGTGGTGGCAGCCATGGCAGGCCCTTTTGTGCGTCCAATTTCAATTTCAGGATGCGAGGTTATACTTGAGGCGGCATACCCAGAAGCTGCGAGGGCCCTTGTAGCAAGAGGAATCTCCCCGCTTCTTTCTGTGGAATGTGGCCAGGTCGAGCAGCGATGGTCGGAGACTACAGCGAGGGTGGCTGTGAGACAGGTGCGCGCTCTTAAAGTGCTCCTTTTGGGAGCCGTCTCCTTTGCAAGGCTTGGTGAAGCGGGCTTGCTTGTGACTGCTAGGCCCGACAATTCTAAAGACTTGGGGCCTTGAAGGCTAGGGCCTTTGGCTTTCATGCTTCTGTGCCAGTTTGTGCTGTTGTTCTTGCTGTGCGGATGCGGGATTGCGTTGCTAGAGCGCAGAATTTGGCCGCCTGTTTTGGCCTTTGTCTGGACTTGGGTTTTGGGACTTGCAAGGTTAACATGGGGTTGGGAGCAGGGAGGCGCGCCTGAACTGTGCCGTAGCCTTTACTTTACTGGCCTTTGCTGGGCACGATTTTCTGGCAGAAGGGATCGGGACTTTCAGCCCTTTCTTGTACAGTGCAAACAGCTGCCGAGGTGCACCATGCAGACGAGACTGTGTCGGTACACTTCATGCAAATCTCAGATGTACCTTCGGCTGGAAGTTTGGGAGGTTTAGGTGCCACCGAATAAATGGCACAACAGGTAGTACCTGCGCCCCGAGGAACACCAACTCCCTGAATAGCTTGTGAGATCGTCGGTTCACATCTGCCCCAGTGCAGTATCACAGAATGCCAAAATGCTTCAAAGAAGTGCTTAGCTGTGGCAAGTTTTGAGATTCGGCGCACCATTAGTGGGGACAACATGGATTTGGGGTTGAATCTCATTCTCGAAGCTTAAGGCAGTAGGCTGAGACTGCATCTGCTTCTACGCCCAGTCTCACATCACACTGTCACCACTGTCGGGGCGCCTCGAAGCAGAGCACGGCAAGAGGACCGTCGGTAACATTCTGTGTGTTCCCGGCACGAACAAGAGTTGGGGGCGTCCAGGTTGCCAACAAGGCCTCGGTGTTTGGTTTCAACACCAGACTCTTGGCATGTCGCTGGTTTTTTGCACCCTGCCCAACTTTCCCCTTCTCCCCAAAGAAGCTTTATCAGAGGATGCACGATGCCTTCTACGGCGGCTCGCCGTGCCTTTGGAATGGATCCATTGCCGGGGATCCCAAACTTGAAGTTCATTTTGCTGGTCGCGCACATGTAGGCTGCTTGGGTGACGTCCAGCCACCTGGCTCTAGACCTGACATGATGTGACCGCTGCCCCACCCATTCTCCCAAATTATATACTTGCACCACCCTTGAGATGGGACTGGATGGAGCATCCACCCTCACAACCACAGCTACTAAACCGGCGGGAGGCTTCAGAGAAAGACCAAGGTTCAGACGGCACCTATGTTCCGCGAGCTTGTGGATGTGGCCACATCGGCCGCAGTCGATGCGTGAGCCTCAGTGACCGATATCCGGAGGTTTGGTCCCCTTCTACGGGTAGGAACCATCAAACCACAGCCAACTAAATCCTCGTGGCCGCGAAACTCAACCCGACGGAGCTATCGGCGAGTGGAGCAGACCGACGCCCGCAACTTCAGACCGACCCTATGTGTGCCGAGATAATTGCTGCCAGCACAGGTTGGTGGTACTCAAGTACGAAACAACTGAAACCAAGCCTCGGAGGACGAGACTCGGGATCGTGTGGAAAACTACAATACAAACGTGTGGCATCCTTAAAGAAGGGCTCACACACTGTTGCTGCCGCACCGAAGACTCATCGAATTCGCGCTTCAGAAAAGAGACGGATGCGCGAGGGCATTGACCACAGCCGCCGCCTTATCACTACATCGTCAGTATATTGTATCTCTCGACTCCTGATATCGCTTTCCGGCTGCATCCCTCGGCCCCGAGAAACCTGAACCTGACTGCCGAATTGCAAACCTTGAATCGGGATCCAAAACATGCATCATTCGTTTGGTGCCGAGAAAGCGTGGAAGGAACGTAGTTTGCCCTCAGGCTCTACGGACTGAACCTTCCCTCGCGCATACGTTGGAATGTTGTTGGCACACGTTTCATCTTCTAATTTGTTCTGATTCCGACACAGATGGAGCCTTCGCTATTGACCCATCTTGCGTTGTATGTCCATCGACTGGAAGGATTACGCGACACGAATGAGTACGGGCTCCAGATCACACTCGTTGCCGAGTCCACACATAAGTGGTTCGGTTGTTTGGTTCTGTGTTTTTTGTCTTAGTCGTATGCTCGGCCAATGCTTGTCTCGGAGTAGCTTTCCAAAGGGCTTCACATCGGAACACCCGACGTCTCGTCCGGTCCCGTGCGCGGTCGCTTTGGGCTTATATTTTATATTGTGCTCAGTGTGCGTGCAAACGAAGTTCAAGCGCTGGAAGGTGGAGCTTTCCGAGCGGTCCGAGCGCAAAGCCTGTGCATGCTAGTTCGGTTCCATGTTGCCGTGCCCTGTTCGAGCTAAACAGTTTCAGGCCGTTGTGCTTTCGGGCGACATCGTGAGCTTTCCCCAGGCACTTGGGATCCTTCATGCGCAGTGAAGGTGCGTTTAGGTGCAGATTCGCAGGTTCGTGATTTGTGGTGTTTTGCAGCTGGCTTTCAACTGGGCTGGTCTTCGGGATGCTGACAGGAATTTCCTCTGGAACAGTTTTGTCGCCAAACCGAACTTATCTCCAGGCCTCCGCTGTCGACACTGTTAGCGGCCTTCTCAACAACACCTTAAAGTGCCCTCAAATTCCTGCGTTGATGGGCCTTCGACCTGCAACGACTATACTCGGTGTCTCGGAAGTTGCAGACCAGTCTTGTGTAGAGTGCTTTGCTGCACACATTATGTGCAACGGGAGAGCCTTGCATGGGAGTTTCTTTCCGCGCTCATCAGCTGCAGCGGCAGGTACCCCTGTGGGCCTTTCAAGGGCACTAGTATCCCCTACGTTTTCACCAGCGGGAACCATGACTGGCACGGAGCTGAGCGAGCTCCAGAGCGAAGCTCGGAAGCCAACTGGGCTTCATGTTGTGGTTTTGGGGGTGTCCATGTCGCAGAACCGGCAGGTTCTTTGAAGGCATGCCTGGAAGCCAGCCAGAGCTGCAGAAGACCTGGCGCGCGTCGCTGGCTCAGCTGTGCCACGCACCCAAAGACAAAGTTTGCGATGCATTGCGGTGTCCGTTTTTTTGGGCTGAGCCTGGTTTTGAGGTCCGCGCTGCATTCGCCCTGCTGACACAATTTGCGCACATGTGGCTGTCGGCAAACCCTGAAAAGCCCTGGCTCGAACACAGCATACCAGGCTAACCTTTGGAGTGTCTTCCCTTGCGCCAGACTTTATGCTTCCAGTGCGACATGGCGTCGCAGACCTACATCTCGCTTTTGTGTCTTTTGCAGCTTTGTGTTTGAACATGGGTTGACATGAGCACTTTCAAAGCCACGTCCAATCTACTGGCCGTCAGGAGCAACTCAAACCCCCTGAGATGATTTCCCCCACTTGCATGCTTGTAGCGTGTCTAGGCTCGCCGTCAATCACAGCGTAAACGTTCAACCAGCCATCTTCAATCTTCCGCAGAGCCCCGAGTTCCAAAATTATGTTCTCGGGGCAGCGGCAAGGCCGCAGAATGCCAGACATGCTATGTATACTTATACGTGTAGTAGTTTGTTATGTTCTGGATTCTTGCAGTGCAGCTCGCGCAACTAGCATGGCAGATCTCTGGAATAGCATGCCAAACTGGCTCGGCCGTTTTGCCTGCAAGATCTTTGCTGAGACCAAAAGCTTATTGCATTATGTGCGAAATTCATATCATACACACACATATTCTGCACACATACGAAAATACAAATGAGAATGTGATAGATGTATTGTTTGTCACTCATTCTAGTCTTTGTTGTCGTTGTTGTCTTTCTTGTCTTTCTTGTCTTTCTTGTCTTTATTGTCTTTCTTGTCTTTCTTGTCTTTCTTATCTCTTTCTTTCTTTCTTTCTTGTCTTTCTTATCTCTTTCTTTCTTTCTTTCCGTCTGTCATTCTTGTTTCTCTCCCTCGCTCGCTCGATAGCGTTGTCGCGCTGCGCTGGCTCCGCCCGACAACCTGCGCAATACATATGATTTCACGGGTGACAGGCAGTGGTTTCTTGATTTCACGCAACACCATGTCATGGTTGGGCATTGCAGATGAGTGCAGTGCCCAGGTGAACATCCCGGTCAATATGATTTCTCCAGCACTTAGCTGAGCAGAGCTACAACAGCAGCACTGTGTTGTGATGCACCTGCGCGCAAGCGCACAGGCACCAGGATTCCGAGTTCCGTGAGTTTGCCGGAGTTGTTGGGCGAACTCTTTTGCACTTAGGCTTGTAATGTCCAGGTTGTGTTTGAATTGCAAGCTCGACATCACTCCAAGCCTGGCCCAGGCACGGTGGTCGAAGGCGTGCTCCTTGTAATCATTGACAACTCCCGCTATCAGGTGAGGTTACAATGGTCGGTGAGGATTTGGCACACCTGTGATGCGCGGTCCACGGCGGAAAGCTGATGCCATGTTTGTGCGGAGGTGTCTGACGAGCAGCTGGCCTTCTTCCGTGGGCAAATGCTCCGCTGGCTGCCAACAGTCCCGAGCTTGATCTGTGGGGACATGGCCGCTCCTTTGCTTACTCAAGTTTCCTGTCTTTTCTTGTGTGGATCGGGGATTGGCGTGCAGCTCTGGCTGAACTGATGCAGCTTTGGCTCCAAATAATCCGATTGCAATCTGTGGCTGACACTGGTGCCTAGAATCTCCACGAGCGCCCCATAGCAACACTTTTGAGATGTGGCTCCAACACTATGAAAAGCGAATGGACATAGACGCACAAGACCTTGCAGCACTGCTTGTCGCGCATGGCGCATTTCATCAAGGTGAAGGACCTGACGCCGAGCTCGCTGAACGTGGATCTGATTGTCAAGGTATCGTCATTTCCTGGTATTGCTAACGTTCCTTCCATTCTATGCGACCACATGCTCTCCCATAATCTGACCCGATGCACACCGTGATGCACCTCTTAACAGCAAATACAGAAAAGCTGACACCTCTCTCGTTCGTGCATTGTTTCGTCAACCGGTGGATGTTAAAGACAGGGGAAGTGGAACTCTTGCCCAATCGGTAGCTGTAGGCGTGCCTGGCTTCCATCTTGTGGCATCCACCTACCATGCATCGAGAACTCCTAGTCATGTCAACGCAAACTTTGTAACAATAAGTTGTAAACGTTAATTTAGGTGTCGCTTGAAGAGGTGCTTACATCGGACGCGCGGCTTCAGTGCTTGTCTGGCGCAAGCCTGCAGCTGGCCTGTGTCAAAGTGGGAGATGAGACCGGCATCGTGACGTCATTGCATTTGGGGGCTTACATCGCTTTTGTTGAAGAGGCTTTTTGCTTCGATGACAAACCGAATGTAACAAAGAGCCGGACCGAACTTTCGGAAACAACTCCACCCATGGACTCTCTTATTCTTTGCAAGACGAGAGAGGTCATGTTGCGCTTAGCAGCCCAGCAAGCTCGCCTTTGCGAGCCTGGTGCGACGCTGGTGCTTCGAAGTGCACGAGCCGAGATGCCACAGGGCGGCAGTGGCAAGTTTTCCCCGCCAAGACTTCCAAAGAAGCTCAGGAGGGCCAGGAGGGGAGGCTTCGCGGCACCCAAAGTTCTCCGAAGGAACGCAGCAGAAGCCTGGTTAAAGATCCTGAAGCCTCTCAGGTCTGCCGGGCAGCTGCGTCTGGAGCTGGGAAGGTGGAGCCGGGTCAGCCAGCTGGCTGAGGCGGCACTCTTCACTCCGAACCTGCGGAATGACATGTCTGCCGTGGACTCCTGGATACTCTTGGCTCTGTCATAGACTCATACATAGCTAGGGGCTTGTTGCTTTGTGACCTTCCAACGTGCTGAGGAATTTGAGGTGGACGAGCATCATATACTAAAGAGCGGACAGAGCCTCACTGGTCCCATGGATGCCATGTGACGTTGGAGCCCCAAGTCAGAAGTGGCTCCCGTGTGAGATCGTTCGGAACGGAACCTCTCGGGCCCTTGGCGCACAATGGCTCAAAGAATGGCTACGCGGCTACCCGCAGCTTGTTTGCTGCCCAGATCAACGAAGCCCACGTGCCTCATCCAGCGAAGCCTTTGCACCTCGAAAGCCTGCTGACGTGAAAGAACATGCAGCCCAGAAGCCGTGGACCCCCATTCCAAGACAGCGCCATCACGAGGAAAACAAGCCGAAGCCTTGCCAACCCAGTAGGGATTCAACGAATGCAGCTGAACACATTGCTTTCATGTGCCCATTGTTTGAGACTCGGGCAACGAAGTCGAGTTAAGATGGCACCATGGGTTCAGACCGGCCCAAGGTGCTCGTCCTTCATGTGCCACTATCTTTAACGGACAGTCTGAGACCGCACCGCGGCTTTGTGTTGCGCTGACCTGAGTTTGTTGCACTTTCTGGTTGAATAAATTGGGGGGGGCACCTTTGCCGTGGCGACCCTGGGAACACCTTGGCACCTGTTGGCCGGGATGCACTCTGCACCAAGTCGCCATGACGAAGCGGCTTAGGTGCGGTGATCCTGCGTGGGGACAGGCGCCTGCAAGCAGTACCCAAATGTATAAACCCGCACGTCGGAGTTTCGAAATGGTAGTGAGCTAGCGTCAGCTAGAGGTGCTGAATTCCGAAGGCCTTGGGTGCCTGTTGAGACATGCAAAAGCTGCTAGATGCTGCAAGGCCACAGATCGATCTTGGCGAGATGAGGGAAGAGATCCCTGGCCAAAGGAGCGGCTGGACAATGTGCGTTCGTGTCTGACTGCTGTACACATCCCTCAAGCTGCTACAGTAGCTCAACCGCCTGGCGCACGAGCACAGATGACGTGCGGTGCATGGTTAGCCGCATCATGCATGAGCTCCAAGCTCACCTAGTCGATAGATCGGCAGGAGGGCAACGACCACTCAACCGAGCTCTTCCTTGAGGCATTGGGCTGAGGAATCTTGAGGTTGCTCTGCAGTTCTGTGTTTGGCATTGAATCCCTTCATAAGTCTCGCACTTTGGACGGATGGCCTGCAAGATACTTCCGTTTTCTTGAGGCTGTGCAGGCTGCCGCGGCACCTTCTGGGCCTCTGCTTGCTCGGGGCCTCAGAATCCGAACAGAGGAGCGCTTCCGTGGATTCTGATTGACTACGCAGCTAGTGGCTAGTGAGTTTAAGTGCAGATGTCAGTAGGCGCGGCGGCCTCTTCAAATTGAGACTCCTCAATCGCAGGCAGTGTTGACGGGCCACACGCATGGCCATGATGCGACCGTTTTTGGCCAAAGCTCCCAGGCAGGGGGTGAGCAAGTAACAGGGGGGTGGCTGCTTGAGGCCCATCATGTGAAGACAGACGAGGGTCCGCTCAAACCAACACATCTTCTCAACTTTTGCAACAGCTGGACTTATAAAGCTGCTGTGCAGCTATTCATCTGCATTTTTGCTGCTATTTCGTGAATCTATTGTTCTTTTGCGGAGCGAATTTGTTGTTGACTGAGCCGAAATTCAAGAAGCACGTGCAAACAGAGAACGCAACTTACAATCACATGATTATGTTGCCAGGGTTGCATGCCTTGCAGTGGACATCATGCGGTGTGGCCTCACTGCCAGCGGTGATGTTCAACATGTCTTTCAGCAGAGCATGGACTGCGCACCAGGGGTCGAGAAATCCTCACGCACAAAGCTTGGTCGGCTCTTGGATGACACTTCCCAGAAATCCTTCGGAGGAAGCTGATGCCGGAAAGGGCGCCTCTGCTGTCCAGTGACCGTTTGATCTTTTGACGTGTACACAAGTGATTACGAAGTGCAAGTTCTAGAGGGCTTCGAGTGCTGTAGTTTTCGCTGGGTCCTAGGTTTAGCCCCAGGGGCCGGTCGTATCGGCAGTCTGAGTCCAGGGCATTGTTGCACGACTGTGTGCGCAGCGGCGCAGGTACATCTGCGAGCCTTCCATGCGTGGTGGTCATCGCTTCTTCAACGTGCTCAACCAAGAACCCACGTCACATCAGGGAAGTGAAAGCCTCGGGGTCGGGGACAAGGAGTTGAGGTCTTGAGGCATGTCCTGCCTCGTATGAGGGCTGCTGTCTATAGATCGATAATCGATACTATGCGTGGTTTTGTGTGCGCGTCTCGCAGTTTGGGCAGATGATCAGCAAGTGTTTCGGCGCATTTCTCAGGTGGTGCTGACGCCTACTGTGGCAGGCCTTAAGGGTCGGAGTTGTTTCTCAGGGCGAGGCAGCCTTTTCCAGCTACAACGACGCTCTAGTTAGCTTCATGCTTAGATGCTTGGCCGGCGTGATTCCCACCTTTTTTACCACATCTTGCATGAATGTCGCTCTTGCCTTCTTAACGCTAGCATGGGAACCAAGCCAAGCCCAAATCAAGAAGCGTGAAACAAGAAAGGAGGTTGGGAAACATTTTGATGTTTGAGGAAAACACATCCAAAGCTGTGGAGAGCGTGAGCTACTGCATGGTACTGCTCAACATCCAGTGGACTGGCAGGTAGATCTCGCTCAGTTCTGAGCAGAGGGAACATTCTGTGATTCCTAGAGGCTTGCGAATCCTACCATTCACATTCTTAATCCCTACTTCTCGCGCGGGTCGGGGGGGGGGGGTTCAGGAGGGTCGAGGCACGAAATGACGTGTCCCGGGCGAGCTTTGCGCTTCTTTCTTGTGCACCGCGGGCTCTCGGATTAGGGCCTTAGGGCTCAGGTTCGTTTGTGGAGTTGAAGTTGCAGTTTCTGTTTGCTCGGGACCTCGGAAAACGAGTGGCAAGCCTCGTTGAGACAACACGGCTTGACAATAACTCAGCACTGCCTACAGGGGCCCTGTGACACTCACCCCTGCGCAGTTCCAGATATCTGAGTGACGATGCCGACCCGAACCCCAGAGCGGCGGAGCGGTGTGACGGACTCAAGCAGATCTAGGGCCGGGCTATCTTGCAGAAACTCTCAGAGTCTCACACACAAAGAACAACCATCCGGACGCACCTTCGGTTTCTCATGAAACGGCTCTGCTCAGCAGTATGCAGATTGTGCCATAACAAGATTCCTCCTCCACATTGTTTGCTGCCGATGGGATCCGTGCACAGCGCACAACCTGAAGCATTCAGAGGACGATCTTCGTCTTGTGGCAGTGTTTGGCCGAAGCCACCCTCAAATAGCTTGAGCCCCGCTTCTCCAACCCAAAGAAAGCATTGACCTGCATGGCTCCGCATCAAATCTTGAGCCCGTGCCTTCAGATACCCTTGGTGCCACTTTAGACCAGCGCATGGCCGCAGGGCCCTTGGCGGTGCTTGCTGCAGGTCTTGAGGGTGGTATCAAATTATTCGTGAGGGGGGCAGGCCTGGCACACGCCTCGGCAACTACAGGCCCTGGCTTTGCAAGCAGACACTTGGGATTGTTTGTTTCGCGGTTCAGTCACCTTCGCCGGGTGTTGTTGCAAAGGGTGCCTCGATGGACAAAACTCATGTGGTTATTCGCTTCCGATTACTTGCCGATGGGGAAGTCGCGGGGTTCAAGAACTCAGCAGATACTGTCTTGATGCTTCGTGCTAAGCCAAGGGTTCACCGCAAGCCACGAGCATAGCCTGAGTCGAGAAGAATTATGTTGAATGATGCGTCAGATCTACAGCAGATTCTCGTTCCAAGGAATCTAACAACAACGGAATTCTCTTATTATCTTACTTCTAACAGCAGCACCATTGCCTTTGCCGTTCTGGTCGACTTACCGCTTCAGCGCGTGTGCTTCACGTGGAATTGAGTACTGGAGCAAGAAGCAGCAAAGATCTATGATTCAACGAAAGCGTTGGCAAGTTTTCGAAACCTGCATCTCACATTCTTTCGGCCTCCACGTGCTGAGACCTACAGATCCGAGCCCAAATCAGTACATCGCATGTATCGTAGATGCCCGAAACCTGCGAAACGAAACTCAGGCTCATGACTTCCTTTTGGGCTTGACCTGGGCAGCCTTGAAGCCATCAGCAGCCACGGAGCTGGGTGCCCAGAAGAGAATGGCTTTGGCCTCTGGCTCTGGGATGTCGTGGGAGTTCATCGGTTAGGGTCCAGCCGTGGTGAAGTGGGCTTGTCGTCTAGCAATTCATTACGGGCATGGACGTGCAAGGAGCTCCCCAAATCCGCTCGCAGGCCTCGTGAGGATCCCGAGATCGAGTTCGATGTGGTGACGCCGCCTCAGCTTGGGTCATCGCGGGCGCGAGTGGATGATTAATGACAATTTGGCATGCACTTGTTTACCTGTAGGCTTTGCCGTAGGGCTGAGGTATGCTGAGGTTCAGGATATCCAAATTGTTAGGCAATTCGTCACAGTTGGCTGTTTCCCGGCTGCTTTGTGGGACTCAATCTGGTGACTTGGTGGTTTCTTTGATGTCAGGAGGGTCTTGTGGCCGATTTGGCGCATATGGGAGTGGTCTGATGCAGACCGCAAACCTAGGTGGCGCTGCTGGGGTGGCATCAAGCGTCTTGAGGCGGAGGCGACCTTCATTGAGCTGCTGGGCTGCAGGGTGATGGACGAGAGTCGATAAAGGGCTATATAAGGAAGTGCAGAGCCATTCTTTTTTCCTTCAAACACAGTGGAAGTATCACCCCTAGCGACGACCTAGCATATAGCACAGCTATATGGTGTCTCAAGCAAACTCTGTGAGGTGAACCACACAGACTACTCAGTGACACGAATGTACAACATGAGCTCACACTCAGTAGACCTTGGCCAGAAGGAGGAAGGAGAAGAAGAGGAAGGAGAGAGTAGGCAGCAGCCAGTAGCGGCGGAGCAGTGGCGCAGAGGCATTCATAAGCTGATGCCTCTTGGCGGCCTCGCGTTCTTCACGTACCAATTGCAGGGCCATTTCCACCATCCAATGCCCCCTGGATGGATGAGTGGCATGTGCAACGTCGACTGGGGCATGAAAATGCTGCTTTCTGAGATGCAAAATGCCAAACAATCGTGATAGATTTCTTGGTTGAGCGAATCGCTCCGTAAAGCCACAACGTGTGCACGAACATTCTGGGAGCCTGGCAATGTCAACATCTAATAGCTGTCGAAGTGGCATGTGTCGCAAGTCTATATCGTGTTATCATGACCGACCAACCGAGTTCTCAGGATTTTGAAAAACTGGCTTGCGCTTGCACTTACCAGTTCAGGAATCGCGTCAGGCTGCTCTGACCTCCGAAGTTAAACGGTGGAGAGCCCGCCTAGTACTGGCCTGGGGTACCGGCTGGGTGCTGTCAGCTTCTGCTTGAGGTCAAACTTTATGTGGGTGTGCTCATTCTCGCCTCTCCGTCCTGAATTTGGCACATATTGAATCAGATCACGCTCTCCAAAGACAAAGTTCCGGCGCCGCCGTTTGTGCCTTGTGCTCGTTTCCTTCCTTTTTGACTCTTGGTTTCCCTCTCAGCGTCTGGTCCTCCGCAGCTGACCACATAATTGCCACACACGCACACTGTAATCGACAGAGAGAGACATGGATGAGCTGTGCACGTCTCCATAAATCCGCAAGAGTTTTAAGAATAAATTCTGCGCCAGGGCCTTGTCCTTTACAAGAATTCATGAAGTCGCAGGCCTTGACAGGCCCAAAGCCTGGAAACCTTTCGGCCGTAAACCTTAAGAATTGCGCATATTGTGGCGCATCAACATGAAGCCAAGGAGCCAACAAAGTGTTTTGGTTTCTGCTGTGCCCAGGCTGACAGCGGTGGCGGGCGGCCTTAGCGCGGTGGGTGGAAGCAGTGGTTTGTCACAGTCATGTTTCCATTTTTAAATCTCTCGCCCTCTCTCTTTCTTTGTCTTTCTTTTTTCTCCTTCCCTTTCACTCTCACATGCCCCATTGATCCTCGCATCCAATGCATTCCAACATATTCCCATATCGCTTCTGCGGAGCCCACCGCGCATGCTCTGCAAGCCACAGATTATGCCTGGAGCGCCAACACTACCGTCCCAGATAGTTCCCAGACGAGCCCCCTTGCATGCCCCACAGTCATTGTTGGAATGCCGGTCTCTCGTGCGCTTTGTCTTTGAGATGCAAATGCCAAAAGTGGCCAACCGCACGCTGCTTGCTGCTAGGGCTCAGTTCATTTTCTCGAACATCCCGCACAGATGGATCAACACCTCTCCGGGGTAACGCGCGGAGTGAAAACGCTCCGGGTGTCTTATTGCTTGAGGCTGACGGAATTGATGCAGTTCTGCATCGCACCACCGAGGCAGGACAGACAGTGGACTGGCTAGGTGTTCAGGCTTCAGGGTCTTCAATCACAAGGATCCATGAATCCCAGTGGCATTTGTCAGTGCACCACCGAAGACCTCGCACTATGAAGAAGGCAAGATCCTCCGAAACCATGCCCGTAGCAACCTGATTGTATACTTGTGTACGTGTGAACAGATAAAGAATGCCGGTGTGAGAGAGAAATTCGTGTCTGCATGAGCACATTAGTTTCCGTGCGTACCAACGAACGGGACAACAAGCAGAGCCCATGAACATAGTATACTTGGGCCCTGAAAGTTTAATATTGTGAGGGCGTCAAGCGCCCTGTGAAATTGACAACAGGGCGCGGTATTCGTTAGCGAGACATATGGTCCCTTGACCTGCCCCTGCGTCCATGATAGTCATGTGGCCCACAGCTCGCGTGTCTTGCTCTTTCAAATTATCTCACTTCAACCAATCTTGATGTGAAAGCAATCAGTCTGTGCCTGCTTGCTTGATTGCTTGATTGCTTGCTTGCTTGCTTTTCAGCACCCTTCTGTTAAGCAGAGCGGGTGCCGGCCAGCTTCCTGGCAGCAATGAGACCCACTGGCAAAAAAAGTGAGAAACAAGAATGGATGCGGGCACAGGTGGCATGGACGTTATAATCCTGCAGGCATGGATGTGTTGGCCCAATAGATTTATCATCCTGCGGGCATGGATGCGACTGCAGCAGCCCGACAAACGGCACAGGCATGAAGCCGGCATGAAGGGAGAGAGAAGGAGACAGGAATCCGGCCAAGGCCAAGGCCGAGACAAAGACCGAAAGACACTCCTTGACCCAATTTTCGCAATACCAGCAACTCTGAAATGGTTGGCGCTGAAATGTCAACAATGCCGAGACAAGCCGTGGCGGCAACATAATTCGCAGCAAAGCAGCAAGGCAGTAGGACACTCCGTAGGAGTACGGAAGAGGCGTTGAACGAGAGCGATGCAGGCGCACATGCTTGGGAAGCGCCCAACGCGAGCCCAAAACCTTCAACAACACGATTCAGCACCACTACTTACTTGCCTGCGCGTGCACGTGATGCCCTGGATGCTTTAACACGCTTTTTTGGAGCCGGGAAGGCGCTCCGTACCGGACTCTTCCTCCTCTCGCAAGGGCTGCCTGGCGCTCATGAGGGCTTCGAGGGGCGCCGCTGCAGGTTGAAGAAGAAGAAGAAGCAAAAGAAGAAGAAGAAGAAGAAGAAGAAGGAGAAGAAGAAGAAGAAGAAGAAGACCGACGAGAAATCCATGAGTTTCGCCGGCCGTCCTTTCTTTCCTGTGCCTTGGTGTCTGAGGCGCCGGCTTCTGAAAACGCCCCACAACAGCTGCCAAGGAGTCTGGGACAAATAGTGATATGGTGACATGCTTAGCACAAGAAAATTCAGAGACGTACCTCAAACTTGAGGGTTATCGAGAGATATGCGTATTGGACCCGAGATGAACAGGCTGTTAAAGGTTTCGCGGTCATTTTAAGTTACGCTGCCATGTCTACAAGCCTCGTGCCCTGACTTGCAACGGTAGGGAAAGCCTCGCAATGGCAAGGAAAGTGCGCCCTGGCAACTTGTGAGACTTGCATCGAGGCAGACTGAGAACAGATCCTGCACAGGCGTTCGAAGGTCCTTTTTGCGCCGGCATGCTGTGAGTTCTGTGAGATGCTGGCAAATGATATCTCAACATGTTCAGGCTTCGGAGAGGCTGAATTTGAGTAGAATCAGTCGAAGTTGTTGATGCCCTTTGCTTGATGTTTTCAGAACGCCAAGCTTCCTTGGCACAGCCTGCAGTTGCAAGTTCGAAACATACCATAGGCGGTAGCATCCGATAGGCAGGAGCTACCTGCCGGCACGACATGTAACTACAAAGATCCAGCCCGAAGCCGTACGTAACCCCCCAAAGGTCTAAGAAAAGAAAAACCATGAATCGGCAGGCTGTGCAGAGTGTTCTTCACTCCCTCGTCCTCTTTGCCGATCCACCCAGCCTGTCTTACTCGCTTTGGGCTCGGTTGCCGCACACGAAAGTCCTAATCCTTGGCACCTTACCTCAGAACTTCCCCGTTGAGGCCCGGACTTCAGCTGGAGGCGGGGGGGGGTTGTCCACTTGTTGAAGCGTATTACGGTTGTTTATGGGCATTTGGTCTCCCCATGGTCGCGTTCAAATTCTTCCTGCCTTTAGGGGCAAGAGAGGGGCAGCTGGGCGTTTAGCGCACATGCACCCCAAACCAGCAGGTTGTAGGCTAGGAGCAGCAATAACATCACAACAAGCATCATCAACCTGTCCAATGCCACGAGTAACACGCAACCTTTCCAGCAACAATCTGCACTTCGGAGCCAGAAAGGGACCAAAAGGCCAAAAGGATTAAGCTTGGTGTAGCTCCGTCGCACCAATGTGGCATAGTCAGCGTTCGCAGCTCCGACGCTAAATCTGCATCCCTTGCATTGCACTTTTAGCGATTCCTGCAATCTTGCATCCTTCAGAAGCTGTATGCTATGCGGAAGGTAGCCAGGCATTGAAGAATTATATGCGGTTGTGTGTTCATGCCATGCTGGAACGCTTCCTTAACACCTGGACAAGTCACAACATTCATTGACTTGACACGAAAGGTGAAAAGCGGCTGCCCGATGTTGGAGGAGTTTAGCCAGGTGGCATCCTCCGTTTGTGCTGTACTACAAGAAGAGAAAAGGAAGCTTTGAGGCTTTCGGGTGCTCTCATAGGAGACAACTTGCCGAGCCCAGATGGCTTCAAGAATCTTTTCGAAAAGAAATGGTGGGGTTTGTAGGGCTTCGGGCTTTAGGGGGGCTTCGGGTGCCCTCTCGGGAATGGGGAATGAAGTAGGTACCCGATAGAATCCCTTAAAGGGTATAAAGGGGGACCTCCTTCCCTACTGAAGAAGCAGTAGGTAAACCCTAAAGCCCTGGCTTCTGCAGCCTGGCCAAATGGCACCTGCCTTCATAGCTCCACGGCTCGATTCAGCTCCTAAGCCCTGGCCTGAGGCGATTTGGGCGTGGCAGGATGGCGACTGGGCCGCCTTCGGCTTTGGTCTAGGCAGCGTGGTGCAATGTCGATTTTAGGGTCTTCGGCTCAAGGGCTCCACGCATTAAGATACATCATGAGCATGTCGTTTACGCGCCGTGCCTTCGAGAGAAAAAATTGCCGGCTCGAACAGCCACCCACACCGTGCGCAGCACAGCCCGTCGCATAGCCTGCTGGACAAGGTGGGTTGACAATTTTTACATCGTTACATATCTCAGCAAAGTGGTGTGCCCTTTCCTCCCTTGCCAGGGAAGACGCTTCTGGCTGCGAATTGCTCATCGCAGTGGGTTCAAAAGCGGGATGGCGGTCCTGATGCTGAAGTCTGAAAGCTTCAATTTTTAAATGCTTCTAGACGTCGGAGAATTCAGAATTCATGTTTGGATTGTCGGGGCTGTGTGGTTGCGTCCCGTGTCAGGCTCATGCTGGCAAGGCTGGGTTTCCGGTATGGAGTCACAATGGGTCACAGTCCCTGCATGGAAACGCATGGAACAGGATCACAGGATGCTTCGGACCTCAGGCAGCCTCACAACTCGTGCAATCACTCCATGATGCATGACATGGTGACCGTTTGGTTAGCCCTGCCCCTTCTCGAGCAACGTTCAAGGCAGGTCTCCAGGTAGCCGGCTTTCTCCGATTGCGGCAATTTGGGTTCAAGACTTGTAGACCGTTTCCCTCCGCGCGGAGTACCCATCCGAGGGCGGTCGCGGGGCACGAATTGTCAGTGCAAGTTCAATAACAGCGCAGTGTGACTAACCTGTCGCGGATGAGCTGAGACGGCAACGGCTGAAGTTGTACCCTCCTGCATCCCTCGACCAAAACTCCAACGAATGAACCTCTTAGCAGGCAGCGATGTGCCGATGACGCCTTGATGCGCGGCTCCCAGGGCGATGATAGTATTTTCACAGGCTCAGGTGTACTTGGTCACTTGGTTCGCATTGACAGCTTTCATGTTGATTGGATGCTGCATGATCTGGCCGGAGGTGGTCCGAGGGTAGCATGGCAGACCTCGGGTGAAGCACGTGAGGCTTGACATTGCCTGTTGCGGCATGGCTTGAAAGGTACAGCTACCACCACCCGCCTCCGCCGCACTACGGCTACACGCCTCCCCCACCAGGGGCCTATGCGGCACAGGCAGCTTCAGGAGGCTGGCTTATGCCTATGTTGGCCTTGGGAAGTTTCTGTCTGCTCAGCCATTGAGCTTTTGAGCTTTTGACTTGATGATTGCAATGTGAATTTGGGTGATTTTTTGGGATAGCATTCGGCAGTTTCCACGAACAAAAAGTCGATCTAGCCCCTCTATACCTTAAAAGTGGGTGGCACACTGCTTGCAGGCCTTTTCTCCATAGGGCAAAGTCTCTTTCAATTCCTCCTGGTCCTATTTCAGGCCACCCGCCGCCTCCGGCATATGGCTACAGCAGCTACCCGCCTGCGATACAAGATGGCCACCCACCGCCAGCGTATCCGCCGCGACAAGAGGGCCACCCACCTCCTGCCTACGGCTACGGCTCCTACCCGCCGCCCGGGCCCCGATCCCTGTATCCTGCAGCACCTGCCATTTGCAGGACTTCAGTCTTGCGACTTGCATCCGACCTGGGCTGTTGGGGATGTTGGATTCTGAGCCTCCGGTTCAGGTTCGAGGTTTAGAGATGTCCTCCTGCTCGAATCATGCCCTTCCTACCTCTGAAGGTTTTGTGAAGTCTGGTTTCTCACCGGCCAGATTGTCTGGAGTGCAGTATTATTAGGGTTCGCAGCTAGCGATCCTGACCCGCAAGGTGATTCAGAGCCTAAAGCCGTGCCCACGAACTTCCGGGAATCCCCAGACTCAGATTCACCATTTCCTGCTTGCGCTGCGCCTGCTCCAATCGTAGCGTTTGAGGCCCCCTTCTGGCTATCCGGGTGGTGCCTATCCCAGCGGGGTCCCCGGTAATCGAGAGGAAGTTGGGCATCCAAGACACGCATTCCAAGCGAGTGTGATTAGTATGCTTGGACATGCTTGGCTTGCTGAATCCATTGAGGCCATGGGTACCCTCCCCCCCACGGGTGGCCCCCACCACCCCACGGCTACTGGCCGCCTCCGTCAGAGAGCCCAGGAACGATGACAGAGTTTGTTGAAGGCTTCGGGGTTCAGTGATGCCCGTGTTCATAAAGTTTTTGTGTTGCTGTGCAAGTTGTTAGCCACCGGAGTCGCTCCCGAGTTGGAGAGCACAAGCTGTTGATCCTGTCCCAACTGCATCAATCACTACTCATGCATCGCCTCAGACGGCTATCATTGCATTTTAGTCTTACCATTATAGTACCGGGGTTTGAATGGGCATGGATAGCCATGCGAGTTCCGAATTCTCTAAACAAGGCACAAGGCACTCTAAACAAGGCACAAGGCACCAAACCTTTTCATTTTCTCCTGTCTATGCCCCTCTTTTCGTCTGCGAACCAAAGAGAATGGTGTAACGGGATTGACGCCTCTTCCTGTCCTAAAGGACACAACCTCGCGCGGAAAGCGCTCGTCCTGTCTTAGCGGTTACCAAAGTTTAGCGGGTTTGCATGTCGGATGGCTTCCTCAAGGTCTTGGAAGGTCTTGGGGGCAGGACCGACAGGTTGAACAGCAACCACTTTAGCAGCTCCCAAGGCAATGTCGATGTCATGTCGACCTAGTTCTGGGTTTCATGGAGCTCGTAATCAACATGATTGTGTCGTTGTCCTAAATTTGCTATATTCGCTTCTCTCCTCTTTTTAACTTGCATTCTCTTCGTTCGCTTCTTTTATAACCTGTAATAGGGTGTAGGAAGTGAGCTGAAGCGACATGAAGCAGTTGCCACATAAAAGGGGCTTGGCAAAGCTGAGTGCTCCATGAGGCCCCCGCACGGCGCGTATCCGGGCTACTGGCCGCCTCCTCCAAGAGAGGCTTCCAGGAGCAGGCGGGGCTGAGGCTCGGTTTCGGGCTTAGGGCTTCGGGCTTAGGGTTTAGGGTTTAGGGTTCTCATGTAGGCTCCCTTGTAGGGCCACCACGTGGCACTCAGATAGCGTCTCGAAGCTTCTGATGCAGATGCACTTGTTATTCGAATGCTGTGCCAGCTTACAACAGCCGGGCGATGTTGCTGCAAGACCTTCCTAGCAGGCCAACACTAAGTCCACTGTGATGGGGGCGAGTTTCGCGGGTTACCAGTGTGAATGGCATCGCGACAACGATGGGCATCATCATCAGAAGTTCTACATAATTCTACACACATACTCGTAGCAGCTTTTGCAACTTGGACAGCAGAATCCCTAAAGCAGAAAGCTGCTCGATGCTTCTTTCTGGTGTGACTCCTGCTGACAGGTCCCCACGGCGGGAAGGAAAGTGACCCCTGGAAGGATTGAGTGGAGTGCTTCTTAGTATCATGTTGGAATCGTTCAGGTACACTTGCCGATTTTTCATTGGCATCGACAATGATGCCAGCCCGACACATTTGTTGATGTGTAGGCCCTGGGCAGACAGGAGAGGCGTAGTGCGTTTCATTCTGGGGTTGTAGCCAGTTGGCGTTTTATCAGTACACCTCTAAGAACTTGTATGTCAAGCACCTTGTGCTTTACAAGAAGACGTGGGGTCTTTGCGCATCCAGGAAGTCATTTGTGGATTCGCTTGTGGCAGGCATGGGCCTCTCAGGTCAGCATTTGCACACACTCGCTTCTATCATTCTGGCCTGTTGGCATGACTTCTGAGACCGCCAGGATAAGTTCAAAGTGGCCAAGCGCATCATAGGCGCGAATGGCAGCAATATGAAGGCCCGCGTCTGGGACCGGGGTTTCGCAAGGATTTAGTTTGGTCCCTGGTGCTGAGGGCTGTACGAGGGGCTTTGGATGCCCGATGTGCGTTTTCAGAGTAATGAGGGTCGCCGGCTTATCGAAGCAGAGTTTTGAGGTAGTGCAAGTAGATGGTTTTTGGGCAGAGGGGCCATCAAGCTTCTGTGGCGAAGAACAATCCCTCCACGGCAATCTTTCAATGATGTTCTTGAGGAAATCGTCAAAAAATCGGGCGACGTCGCCAAGCTGCGGCTGCGTGGCAAAGGTTCAGGCTTCGCCGGGCACCCCAGCTCGCTTTTCTTAATCAAGCCGACACGCTGGAAGTCCGAGAGTGCGAAGTTGCGAAATGAACGCTGGAACTGTCATGGCCAGCGACTTGCTAATGGTTGTTGTGGGAAAGTTCGGCTGGCGACTGGCGCATGGTCTGCGCTGCTCCGTTTGGCGTTGTCTCGTCTTCGTGAGCTTCCTTATCGTGGCCCCAAATCGTTTCCTAAACCGTTTGGCGTCCCGACACTCAAGGGAAACCACCAAAAACCAACGGAGGCCCAGTTTTCACCTGAAGCTGCGTCAAGTTGCAGAAAGCCGAAGCCATCCTAACCCTGCCGAAATCGAGCCCATCTTAGCCATAAGCTTCAGTTAGGCCGAGCGCGACACGAACGAAGAGTCGCCAGCAGCCATCTCAGGGCTTGGGGAAGGGGTCTGAAGTGGGAGGGCTGAGGTCTCATCGTGAAGGGATGCAGGCTATCTTGGCTGATCACTCGTCATCCACAACACTCAAAAACACACCGAAACCTTTGTCTAGGTGCCAAACATTGACGTCCCGACCAAGAGCTCTCAACACGCCTCCTGCTGCCCCCAAGCTGATTTCTCACGGCAGCAAGGGAACCTGACGCTAAGGCACTGCCTTCGTAGATCTCAGCTATCAAGTTCGGGGATACTAGCTCCCCGCCTTTCGGACTTGCAGCTTTCTGAGGAGCCCCTCCAGCTCTGCATCTCTTGCCCTACACAGCGCGGCTATGAAATCGCTCGGACGTGTCTAGGACGGCAATTATGAAGCCTTCCCCAAAGCTCCAAAGCTTCGCTTCCGCGTGTGCCTTGTGGAGAGTAAGCGAGAGTGTGACACGGTAAAACCCAAAAGATGCTCCGAGAGTTCCCTGAGCCCCAAAGAGGGAACAAGGAACAACCCCTAGAGTCCGTAGCGTCATAAAGAGAGGTGGAAGATTTGGGGAGCATAGGGTTTTTTGCGAAGGTGCGTAGAAGATCTGCTTCTGAACGTCTACGACGAGTACGAAGATTATTGCGAAGAGCATGGTCTGGACTGCGGCTGAGTCTGGTTGGCCTGAGCGTTTAAGTTGAACTGCTCCGGCTCATAGGTCTAAGGCTGTCACCTGCAGTCGTGGCGTGGCGCAGTGATCAGCTGGCGCGCGCGCGCGTGGTGCCAAGCTCATCGGTGCCAGGATAGCGAATCACCGACCATCCGGATGACAGAGAGGCTCACGGCATTTCCTGGCATTGTTCGGCTGTATCGCCACCGTACGCTGGCGGATTCGTCCAAGAAAGTCCTCCTTGCAGCCCACCATGCTTCGAACCGGAAGTGGCAGTGCCACCATGCCTCGAAAATGTCATACATCTCCACAGATCCTGGTTATAAACATCCGTCATAGTAAGCAATCATACATAGTGCTGAAAATATGCCTCGCTTCAGCATGAAGAATGGTAATCTAAGTGCCGTGTAGTTCAACTACACTCCATTTCCGAACCCGGAAGCGTGTCGTGTTGAAGTGGGGACAGGCTTCAGTAGGAAGACTTGTTCAGTTGATGTCGGACCGTCAGGCATTTGACAGGAGAAGGCCCCGGCGGAGGTTGGCATCTGGGTGTGCCGCGAGTTTTCCAGTATAGGCAAGTAACTTCAAAGAGAATGCTGTTTAAGACAGGACATCCCTTAACCAGCACAGAATTGTTGGGACTGAGCAGCATCTAGCAATAGGCTCAAATAGAATTTCTGGCTCCACCCTTAGAGCGATGATGAAAACCCAGCTTCTTTGTAGTCGACTCATGGCAGGCAACGTCAATAGGCCTTCCTACAGGCTGGCCGCGCAGCGCGTTCGGGTGGTGTGCTTCTGTATACCGTGACACCCAGATAGTAAGCCATGCGTGGCAGGGGCAGGGACAGCAATGCTCGAGTGCTCGGAATACTGAGCAGGGATCCACATCCACTGCTCATAGTGCAACCTACAGCAGTCGGAAGATCGAATCCGAAGCGTACACGTGCAGTGAGTAAGTTAAACATGCATGATAACAGGCCCCAGCCCGTACAAGTACTAGAGATGTGTGATTCAAGTGCATCTGCTTCGGGCTGTGAACCCAATGACCTGCGGCAGCAAGTAGCAGAACAGATTGCAAGGCATGGTACCTATAGCCCAGCATGGCCTCTCGCTAGGGGCAAGAGAAAACCAAAAGCGAAAGCTGCGGCACCAAAGCACCTTTGCTGGAATATCTTGCAGGTCAGGATGGGACAGGGTCAAGAGTTCAGAGTTTGTTCATGTTAGCTTGGGTGGCGCAGTTCAGATACTCAAAGGTTTGAAGCCCTTTGGTTGTTGAAGTTTCGGGGCCAGAGCCAACAGAGTAGAGGGTGCCTTCGGGCAAGTCCCACCACTCTCCAAGAGACTGGCAACGGCACCAAACCCTTCACAGCGACCCTTGAATGATCTCAGGCTTAAAGGTCAACACCTACGGTTCGACAAGCCCCGAAGCCTGAGCACTGCCCAAGAAGCAACCATAGCAAGAAAAAACCGTGCGCACTAACACTCATAAAGACTCTGGAGCCACATCCTTGGACAACTCGCCCTGTGTGCCCAGTCGCC